TATGCATGGTGTGTCGTGTCAAACCACCAACGATGCAAGATCCAACGAGTTGCAATGATTGCGATTCGAAGACAAGCGCTATAACAGCAGCAATGCGTCCACAGCTTTCCGTATCGCCTTCTGCCTCACCAGACAAACTTCAAACATCACCATTATCTATGTCGCCGCCATTACCATTGCCACAACTTCCCGCAAAGCCTCCAGTATCTAGTGGTCGGATATGGGATGTTCCAGCAACTAGTGCGGTATCCATTGTAAGTTCTACTGCAACAAATAGTAATAGCAATATAAAAGGATCGTCGAAATCTGTACAAGAACCAACCACCAATTCTTCATCTCCCAAGCGACCTAGCTCGACAACTTTGCTCAATTCGGAAATGCCGTCGTTGGTGCCTATAAATGCGCCGATTACAGTTCAAAAGACAGTAACCACCGGCACGCAGTTACTACCTGACAACATTCCAGTTTTTCATCGGCATAACTACAATCAACAAGGCATTGTAACACGTAAGGAGTTTTCTTGTCCGTTGTGTCAGCGTCCATTCGGTACGCGTCACAATCTGAAACGCCACTTTATGATACACACCGGCGAAAAGCCATTTTCTTGTAATAAATGTCGCAAACCGTTCAGAGAATACTCAACGCTGAAGAAGCACATGGTGACACATCAACGAGATCGGTATTATAAATGTCTCCATTGTCCGAGAAAATATAGAGACTACTTAGAGTACAGTGAACACAAGAAAGCTCACGCAAACGAGAATGATGATGATGATGATGATGACAATGCTAATTTTGACCAGCAACAACTAAGTTCGTCCAGCAGCACATCCAGCCCGCAAAAGCGGGCAAAAACGCGCTACGATAGTAGTTATGATTCAAACGAAGAAGATTCTTCCACGGAAGATTGGCTCGAGTGCTGCGAGTGTAAACAACGTTTCACAGAAATCGAGTCGTACACCAAGCATTTGAAAGAACATGATCCATCTGTGTATCTCTATGAATGCTATATTTGCAAGAAAACTTTCGAACTACGCGACGAATTAGTGGAGCACGTGAGTGCTTGTAAGGAGGAACTGCGCGAGACTGCATTACAACGAGCAACTTGTTTCAATTAGAAATACTTACTCTTCCAAAAGTAACATACTAATCGTCTAGAATTATGCCGGCCAATGCAATTTTTGATACATCACAGCAAGACTGTGGAGGAATTTATATATCAAACGGTAGAAAAAAATATTTCCTCTAAAAGTACACCTCCGGTGCAGTTCTGATATGATGAAGCTCATAACGCATCTGATATTCGACAGCGGGCTTACAAACCTCAATTTGTCGGATAACAAAAAGACGCTAATCACAAATCATAGTAGAAGCTCAAATAATACATAAATTCATACATACATACTTATATACCGAAGATAGAACCGGCATCTGAAATAAATGTACTATCATTCCAGATATTTTTATAGCAATATTAAGCAAAATGAACGTAGTAAGAAGTACTTAAGCATTCCTGTTTTGTTGTAATTAACACTTAAACGATCTTCCTTTTGGAAAATGTTTCCCAGTGACATTCCATTTATATGTATACATCAGGGTTGTTGCCAATATTATTCCGAAAAAAAAGTCCTTTCTGGAAAATAAACAAACCGCTTATCGAAATTAAACAAGTTTGGTACCAAATTAAAGAGGACTCTAATATCTTTATAACTGAAATGTCTAAACAAGGAAAGCCACATAGTTAAAAATATTTCAATAAAAAATGTTAATCAAGTACCATAGAACAAACATTGTGTCAGGTGTATGCATTTCTTTAGTATTAAATTATAAAAAAATATAAATTAAGATCGTTCGTAATTTCTGTTTAAAAGCTATTTCATTCCTCTTTCATATGATACCAAATTTGTTTAATTTGGACAGGCGGTTTGTTTATTATCCGGAAAGGACTTTTATTTCGGAATAATATTCGCAACAACTCTGGTATACATATGAACTACATATGTATTTAACTTCATATTTATATATGTATTCCTACATTAAGTAAATAAAATATTTCCAGTAAAATTAAAAAAAAAAACATTCAAAGTATTATGAGATTAGATAAGTAGATGTTAAAAATGATATTAAAACAATTGCTGTACGACTATTTTTAGTATTAAAGCATAATATTTTTGGCAGTGTCTACACACACGCGCCACGGTAAATTTTACTGTAGATCCACGGTAAAAATTACCGTGGATCTACGGTAAAATTACCGTGGATCCACGGTAAAAATTGCCGTGGATCTACGGTAAAAATTACCGTCGATCCACGGTGTATTTACCGCGAATCCGCGGAAAAAAATTACCGTGGATTCACAGTGATTTTCGAAGCGTGCGAATAACTGTATTTTTTAACAGTAGATCTACGACAAAAATTAGTGTGGACCCGAGGTTATCTATTTTTCCAACGTGAATGAACAATCCTAATTTCTCATATAGATGTATCACGATAGATGTATGTAAATACCTAAGTTACTGCCATTCATTCAAAAATCAATTCGTTAATTAGTTGATAAAAATCGTGCAATAATAATAACCTTTGAGCGAAAAAATGACATTCGAATATTAATTATTATCTTTAATCTTTATTGGTTAAACTCGAAAAATAAAGATCATCGTAAATTACAGTAGAAGGTACGAATAGAAATACGTCAGTATAGATAAAACTGTTTTACGACGATTACAACTTTTGATTTTCTGGTTAAAATTTAACAAATAATGATTATTTTCCGTATGATTAAATTATTTTGTGTATGATTAAACAAACCATGATATCTTACTGTCGATAAGTAACTACTGCGCGTTGTTGCTGTATTTTCCTATTTTTCCATAGAGCACAAGGCACAGAACCAATCGCCAACCGGCTTCCTCTTTATCTCCACACACACCCAATGATGCCATAGGTAACATCCGTCACAACGTATAACATTTTTACACGACTGATGATGTTTTCCTCCACATACAGCACATTTGTAATCATCTTTAGCTCTTTTCATTCCAAGAGTAACCAAAAATGTTTCAAATGTATCTTTCGCCATGCACGGCATTAAATGAAAGAATCGTTCAAAAGTGGCAGTGTCGATTTCGCTGCTTTTGATTTTTGAAGACGTGAAATCTCGTCCTTTCACATAATTTGACATCAGTAGCCATTTCAGCATCATCTCAAGTTTGGTGTCATTATTTTTTGTATCAAAGGCTACTCCACCAACTTTGTCGTCGTCCAATTTTTTTGGGCCCCAACTTTGAGTTGCCCCACGACTTCTACCCCTGGACGCTCGTTGACCTCTAGCCACCTCTCTGCCTCCAGCGCGTTGATGCTGTTGTAGCAATCGTTTGTTCCCTTCTTCCTTTGGGAGCGGTATCCCAGCCACTGTGGTCCTTCGGCCTTTGGGGGCTCCTCTAGGCTTTCCGACATTACAAACATCTTTTATTCCAAAAAGAGTATCAATTGTCGCCTCGTTAATCTTGCTACAAGTTTGAAGCTGTAAAGATGGCATCACCAAAGGCGTTTCTTTGTGGTCAGCAGCGGAAGGTGGGGTTTTGGGATTTTCTTCTTCCAGGACGACCTTTTCCGGCAAACGGTTATGAGCTGAATCAGTGCTGCTATTCGGGAATTGGCGAGTTAAATCGATCGGTATCTCTGGGTTCTGGGTTGGCTCAGTTAAAGTAGACAGAGGTCTGTGCCTTGTTATAATGTTATCATATGTTAATTTCGCATCGAGAATTTCTTTAAAACGCTAGGAAGGAACGCCAAAAATCTAAATTTAGAGATTTTGAATCTTCAGAGGAAGTTTTTGTTACCTTTCTGAGTATGTTATCTGAATGGGCAAGCTCGTAATCTCCGTCTCTTCTCTGATTAGTGTTCTTGTTTATGTCATACATATACAATTAACAAATATACATACATACACACATACGACATATGTACATGTCGAATAGATAACCTCTTAGTTTTCTTTGAAGTCGTTTAAAAAAAAAATGTCATTTACCGCACATCTACATTAAAAAGGTGGTTCTTCGCGCACTTCGGAAATCAAACATCTTCTTCGTCAAGCAAAAATCTTCAGAAATTGCCGTGGATCCACAGTAAATTTTTACCGTGGTTCTACGGTAATTTTTTTACCTTGGATACACGGTAATTTTTACCGTGGATACACGGTAATTTTTTACCGTGGATCCACGGTAATTTTACCGTAGATCCACGGTAATTTTTACCGTAGATCCAGGGCAATTTTTACCGTGGATCCACGGTAATTTTTACCGTAGATCCACGGTAATTTTACCGTAGATCCACGGTAATTTTTACCGTAGATCCACGGTAATTTTACCGTAGATCCACGGTATTTTTTACCGTGGATCCACGGTAAAAGTTACCGTGGCGCGTGTAAATAGACACTCCCAATATTTTTGTATACTTTTTGCAGAAACAACGCATTTCTCTTCAGCATAACTTAATTCCACATCAATTGTTAGAGAACAAGCTCTGGAATTTGTGTGTCAATGGTTCCAAAAGCTAAAATTGCTAAAATCTAACATGTCGTACTAGAAGCATATTTGTAAAAGCGTATGCATTTTACACTTTAGTGCAATATGCGACATTAGATCAAGGACGAGCTAAAACTAAATATATTCTTGTTGCCTGTAACATCCTAAAATTCAATGTATTTAAAAAATGCTTATTATAAATTGTATATTATATGTATGTATTATCGAAAGCTATAGTTCGTCACACCCATGTTCCTTAACCTGATCTACATGCTACTGTAAAATTTCCTCCTTAAAATGTCTCGAACTCTTACGCTTTTTTGTAGTATAAATGCGGTTTGCAAAACATTTTGTGATTCTAAACGTTTTTAACCTTTTTGGTC